GCCTGAACGATAATTTGGATCTGCGGTGGATCTCCTTGTGTCCACTTCTATGGCGCTTCGAAAGACCTGCTTGCTGAAAGGATACCATCTAACAAAATGCCAACCTCCGCAGTACCAACAAGCAGACGGAGGTTTAGCTTGTGGAAATATCCCGTTCTTATTTGCTGAGGTGTTGCCTCTGGAAATTTGATGGACAGTAATATCATCAGTATGCACCCTTGAATCGTTCACCATAACTGTGTCGCGCTTTAAATTCATGACTGGACTTCAGCAACGACATTTTGTAATGTGACATCTGGATTTTGGTATCTTTGGGGGACTGCAAACTAATATCAGGGACTCGAACTGATCTTCGGTAAGCGAATTTGGTTTAAAATTCTAGCATTCACATTGTACTGTTGCTGCATGAGCAATAAAACCGTCACTTTTGCAAAGTTTCAAACAATTGTACAGATTACTAAAAACCGAAGACCAGTCTCTATAAGCTAAGCAACTGTGTCATCAAAGCTGAAATCATGGGCGGTCTTCGGCAAAATGTAGTTGAGCTTTCTGTCATGCTCGACCGCGCCCAGTTTTCGTTACAGCAAACGAACTTCTGACTTCGAACTCTGTCCTGAAAACATCTTCATGGCGCCTGAACCAAGCATCGAATTTTAGTGTTGAATCAGGAACAAAATTGAACTCAGTAACGTTGCTGACCACTGTGTCCGCTGAAGGCTTCCCAGTGTTCTGGTGAGGTGTGGACTGAAGAGCTAAGGTTCGAGTGAGAGTCTCAAACATTCGCAGCCGCGCGACTTCCAACTGCTGCTGCCATTGATACAAAATAACCTTAAGGTCTTCTGATGAGATTGACATCCTAATTTAGTTCACATTTGTCGCTGATTGTACGGATAACCTTCTGCTACAGCGCAAGATGACCGCTGCCTTGTTGAACTACCTTCTCGTGGTGGCAGTTTAATGGTTCGGGTGTACCCCGATCCAGCAAAGTGTTTGGCACCAATGTTCCACCTCCGTGGAGCATTATATTCCAGCAATTGTGCTGACTTCATGGGGACTATTGGGTCCCTGTTTGGTAATCTACCAAACATAGACGTATAAACTGATCATTCAGTCAACGCATCCCAATGGGCGCGATTCCCTAAATTCGCCCCGCTGACTTGCGGGTAGGTTATTTAGCCAAAGGCTCGGGGTGGAGTCAACTAAGTTAACTACCTACTTCGGCTTGGGCAACCGGGTAGTATCATGCCCTCTCGTAAAACCATGGACTGTATAACAACGTGCTCATCACCTACTGTTTCTGCTAGTCACTTTCACGCGACTTCATCACATGCCAATTGTTTGTTTGCTAACAATCTTCACTTTCCGTTACCCGATTCATGTGCTCAACAATCTGGCTGCGATTCCGGTTGCGCCGCAGCCAAGGAGTTCAACCAACGGCTCTCCTTCGTCCCCGATCCTCGTTCCGTCTGGCGTGCTTCAACGTTCGGACACTCATGCAGACTGGATAGCAAGCCGGTCTAGCGCACACCCTAGATTCCCTAGACATTGATGTCTGCTGCCTTTCGGAAATCCGATTGCAAGATCCAAGCACTATGCTTACATTGACACTCCCAATGACCACGAAGCCAGATATCACCTGCGTCTTTCTGGAAATCCAGAATCAGCCTCAGCTGGTGTGGCTGGTGTAGGTATCGCAATGAGTGGCAAGGCCGAGGCAGCACTACTGGACTGGTTCCCCATTAACAGCAGACTATGTGAAGTTCGGTTTCGGGGTTCATGTAGAATTAACAGGCACCGCGAAGAGAGACACAACTTGTTTGTGATCTCCGTGTACGCTCCAACTGACTGCAGTGGCGACTCGGTCAAGGACGAATTCTACCGAGATCTACAGCAGCTCTTGACTAATGCTAAAAAGTCGGATGTCGTTATCCCTGCTGGGGATTTTAATGCACGAGTTGGCCTCCTGTTACCATACGAACGCCACCTTGGTGGTCATCACGCGCTCGATGAGAACCGCTCTGATACTGGGGAGAGACTTCTCACATTGTGCGAAGACAACCGTCTGTTTCTTTCGAGCACTAACTCCAGGCGTACGAAAAAGCGTTCCGCAACGTGGCGTCCCCCTTCGCCAACAAAACCGTGGTCTCAAATTGATCACATTGCAATTAGCTTCAGATGGCGCGGCAACGAACTGGGCTGCAGATCCTTTTGGTCCATTTTCGTCGACTCAGATCATGCTATGGTCTGCGCGAAAATCTGTATGTGTTTTGGAGGATCCCGAAACACGAAGCACCGCAAGATTGATGTAAACAGATTAATTGATTCCTCTGTCCAGACGAGCTATCAGTCTTCATTGGCATATGCACTCAGTTGCAATCCACCGCAAGAAGTGGAACAACACTGGACTTGTATACGGAAAGGGATGACCATTTCCGGACAGTCATGCTGCGGCCTAACTCGACGACTCTTGAAGGCTTGGATCTCTGCTCGTTCTCTGGAGCTGTTCGAACGCCGCAAAGATATCCCCGCGGAATCAGATTGCAACGAGCGGCGCCGTTCTGACAACCGGCTGCTCAAGCAAAGCCCACACAAGAATCGCGAGACATGGTAGTGTAAGCGTGCTTTAGAGATGGAGACCGCTGCCCTCTCTGGCAACACTCGCAGGGTCTTCCAACACATTCGGTCTACTGACCTCAGGAAGCCTGGTGTCAGTGAGGCCATTAGTGAGGTGGATAGGTCTCCGATCACCAACCGACAGAGGCGTATGGACCGCTGGGCCGAGCACTTTCACTCGCAGTTCCACTGGCCACCATCCATTAGTACATGCAGTACACCTTGTTGTCCACCCTGGCTCGTCTCACTGAATCCACTCAGTGAAGCGGAAGTCTGCCCCGAGATTCGACGCCTGAAGCGCTTCAAGGCTGCCGGCTTAGATGGACTTCCTCCGGAGCTATTCAAGTACGGCGGTGTGGCGATCATTAACCAGCTGACCGCGCTGTTCGCAAAAATTTGGCATAAAGTGAAAGTGCCTTCCTCTTGGGATGAATCAGTTATTGTCCCGATTTTCAAGAAAGGCGCTCGCACTTCTTGTGCAAATCATCGCGGGATTAGTCTTATTTCGGTTGCCTCCAAGCTATTGTCATCCATTCTGCTTCGCAGGCTATCCCCAGTACGTGAATCATACTATCGTGAAGAACAAGCTGGTTTCCGTCCTGGCCGAGGATGCGTGGCTCAAATCTTCACGCTCCGCCAGCTCCTCGAACATCGCCACATTTATCACAGGCCCACTATCGTTGCATTCCTGGACATACGTGCCGCTTTTGACTCCGTCGATCGACCTGCTTTATGGCGTTGCTTGCTAAAGAGCGGGATGCCAGAGAAATATACCGCCATCATACAAGCACTTTACCTTCATACATCCCGCAAAGTGAGGGACTATGGCAAGCTTTCCTCGCAATCAACCGTCAATAGGGATGTGCGACAGGGCTGCCGTATGTCTCTATTCCTCTTCAACTTCGCAATCGAAGACGTTCTGTCGAATGCTCTAGAAGGTTTCCAACATGTCGGCCTAGAGCTTCTACCGGGTGAGCGCGCGCCCGACTTAGGGCATGCTGATGATATCGCCTTACTTGGTGACGATCCTCAGAGTATGCAACTCATTCTGGATCGTTTGGCGGTTGAAGCATCTAAGTATGACATGAGCTTCGCCTCATCGAAGTGTAAAGTATTGCTCAAGGATTGGCTTTCACCTGCTCCTGTACTCACTCTCGAAGGTGCACAACTTGAACAAGTAGACAGTTTCGTCTACCTTGGGAGCTGTGTTTCTGCTGACGGCACTATCAACAAAGAAGTTTCTCTTCGTATCGCTAAAGCTCGATCAGCATTTGTTAATCTGAGGCACTTGTGGCATCGTCGCGACGTCTCATTCTCACTAAAGGGCCGCGTTTACAGCGCATCAGTTCGCTCAGGATTGTTGTATGGGTGCGAGTCCTGGACGATTCGCGTGGAAGACATGCATCGTCTTTCTGCCTTCGATAACGGTTGCTTAAGGAGGATCGCTCGTGTTTGGTGGCAACATCGAATTAATAGTAATGACGTTCGATGTCGCATCTTGGGGAATAGGAGTATGCCTTTCAACAAACTGATTATGTTGCGCCAGTGGAGATGGCTTGGTCACATCCTACGCATGGCACCTGAGCGTCTACCGTGTCGCGCTCTATTTGCTCATCAAGGACCTGGTTGGAGGTGACCGCGTGGTGGTCAGCCTTCCACTTAGCGGCAGCACATGAAATCGCTGACGTCGTGTCTAGCCGCTGTTGGATCCGTGCGTCTTGCAGAATGGGGACCCAAAGATGAGGAGTGCCAATGGTTTAGCACTCTTGAAGACATGGCCCGCAACCGGAATCAGTGGAAGGATTGCGTACAGAATCGTACTGATTCACGTGTTTAATACTACAAACATTGAAAATGACAAAAAAGGAGAAAAATCGGCGTGTGAAAAACAAAAGGTTTCGTTCTACTTTTTGTCAAAAGTTTCTATTCTTCCTGCGGCATATTAGTTGAAGTGTGTTGCTCACCTTCAACAACCATGCCACGATGATTATGACGCAGTGACTTCCCTTTATCTGCTAATCTCCATGGCTTTGTTGGCTCTATGTCTAGTTGCTAGGCTGTTGTGATTAAATACATACATACCTACAGATTAGAAAACAAAGTCCTCAAGCGAAAACTGTATTGAGCATCCGGCAAGCAGTATAAACAAATCAAGTCGAATCAATAGTTAATAAAGAGATAGCCTAGCGCTCATTGGCGGGCTTAAAGATAGACCATCCTCATTGGCTGCGTTCAAAGTAAAGCGTCACCATTAGCCCGCTCTCATTGGTTGGCCAATAAGCTTTGGCCTGCGTCATGTACAACTGTTCCGGGTTGCTAGCAAAGGGGTGCCTGCACCCTTAATAAGATGCTTTGCTGCTGTTGTTAAGATTTGGGCCCAGTTGTACAAACGAATGAAACAAACACGAGAAACAAAACCCAAATAGAATCAATCAACGTACCTAAATGCAGTGTTTTCGGCGGCAAATCTATACGCTCTAAATGTGCGTAGATCAATGCCCTTGCCTTTACAGAGCTGGGTGAGCCGACAATTGCTTTCTTGAAAATAGTAAAAATCGGTATCTGCATGATAAGCTACAAAAGGAAAATCGGAGGCAAGAGGGATAGGAAGTGGAAAGAAATACATCTGGTGTACTTTCATCATGCATAATAATTATCATCACCACATTGTACAAAAAGAGGAAAAACACTCCAGCTATTGTGCCGAAATGTGATACAAACACATAGCCGTAAAAGGAACAAAAAGATAATGTAAAAACAGAAATAAAAAGCATATTTTCGCTATGCATCGGGACTGAGATCGTGATCGGAGAGGTGAAGCGGCGTGAGTGGGATAAAAAAATTATAACACAAACGCCATTGAGGTCGTCTCCTGACCATAACAACAAGTGTCTCCAACCAGAAGTAAATATATAGCTGCGATGTAATTGAATTCCTGAATGACCAAGTGATCCCTACCAATACAGGAAAAAAAACTTTGCGTTTGTAGGGTGAAAAGCACAGCCCGAAGAGGTTGACAGTCAGCGCTAATGTGTTCAGCGCTGCCTGGCACGTTAGTGAGCCGCCACGGTAATACCGTCGGCATACTCAAAATCAAGAAGTCTATCAGCTTAGAACAGCTCTAAGCTCCTAGGCAGTTTCCACAACGCAGTTTCCATGACTTCGTTGACCGGGAATTTAGAAAGGAATGGTGACAGCGGACATCTCTGTCTCACACCACTGACCACATTGAAGGTCGGGAACAGCTGGCCACAAGCCCTCACTCCGACGGAACTAGGCACGTATAGAGATGGGATGAAGTTTACCCAATTCGTGCACACAGATTTCGTAATGAGACATTTCCAACGAACACATCAATTCACCGAATCAAAGGCTCTGTTGATGTCGAGGAGCATGACTAAGGTGAATAGCCAATAGATGTGGCGGAGCTCCAACAAATTAAAGACGAGGTCAATGCGCACCCGATATAGACTAGGACCAGCTTGCTCTTCACGATTCTGGCTTTCAAAGGCACTAATCAGTAATGGAAAGACAACACGGACAAACAATTTAGGAGAGATGGAGAGAAGACTGACCCCTGTGAATGCAGTAACACGAATGTCAATAACGGAGCTGCCCTTTGCAGCTCAAATAGTTCCATAACCCCACAATTTAAATAATAAATTGTTCAAATCGTCTACAAGAGCTGGTCCTCCGAATTTGAAGAGGTTAAGAACAAGATCATCTGGTCCTATGGCCTGATTCAAGTTCGACTTCTGCTCGAGGGTGGGTCCAAGGTTACGACCCAGGGAATAGGGAGATCAATAGCCGGCGGATAACCCGACAATTCTGACAGATTACGTTGCCTTCCAAAGTATTTGGTCCAACACTCAAAGCGTTTTAACAAATTGTGGATATGATGCCGCTCTCGTTGTATAGTCTGGCTAACACTAGGTCTCCAAATGCCTGTTCCACATGTGAGACGGAAAAACAATCAGCGCTTACCAAGAGGAGTGCCTATTTTAATCTCTGATGTCAAATAAAACAATCAGGATTTGTGGTCTTTCTTCAGGCTAGTGCACACTTTTGTCCTTAGGTCTTTGCGAGCCTCGTAGTTGATATCAGTGGGAATGTGTCATGGAGTATCCAGGAGTTCCAGGGAGTGCGTAGAGACTCAGTCTCCTGGACGGCAATCAGACTTCTCACATAAAAGCACACCCGCTGCCAATAACGTCTGGCGAACATGTAACCAATGGCCGACAACCAGTTACAGTGAGCGTTTACTCAGCCCGGATGTCAGCAGACTTTGATACGCATTAAAAGCATCCGGCTTCGCCAATTGGCAAGTATTTATACACTCACAGCGTCGTCGAAGGCGTCCGCCGAAATGCAATCGTAGATCAGCATATAGAAGTTCACGGTCAGTGTCCACACATGTGTTCCAGATCCAGCGACAGTTTTGGACGCAACCTTTTCAACGGTAACTGCCTGTGATACAATCGATTTGCGTCCATGGCTGGTCTGAAGCTGGTGGGTGCCATATCACCGTAGGACGGATGCTGTCGGAAGTTAGTGCTCGCGAGAAACAGACGAACATCCTCACATAGATTTAACAACGGTTCATCGTTAGTATTACCGGAGCTTACACCGTGTTGGCCGTACAGGTGAAACTTATCATCAGACAATTTTCCAACCATCCGCATCGGTATTCTTTGGCGACGAAGAAGCTAGTTCTGTTGACGATAGATGTCATCACTCGGACTCAGCGCTAAAGTTTAAGGGGGCAAAGGTACTGATGACAAATAGGCACCTATTGGCCTCGCGCGACTTTGAGGTTTGAACGAGTCAACCAATTTGATGGCGCATATCCGGCTGTTGAGCAGGATACAGATGTGAATATTAATAGCCTAGATTGTTCAGTTGGTGGTCGGAGTGGGCGCTGAGCATGGCAGTTAAGATGCAAACGTTGCATCACCACTCGAGGTGAAATCGTCGTTGAGGTAATTTTCTGCGGAGCGGCGCGATGCGAATAGCCCTGCTACATAAAACGCATTGACTATATCACCTTGAGTGGTGATGAAGTGTTTGCATCCAAACTACCAAGCTCAACGCACACTGTGTTTGTTCGCTTGATTGGACATGGATTTGTCGACTAGACAGGATGGATTCACCTTCCACCGGCTCCTGCTGTGAAACTGCTATCACTTCTGCACTGATTATGTCACCGCGAATGGTGATGAAACGCTAGCAATCAAATTACCGTTCGGTGAAAATCAGATCAACTGACGTACAAGTATTTTAAATAATTTTGAACAGAAATTAAACAAAACCACACAGTCGGAGCAGTTTCTGTCAGGATAACGAAAGTATGACGTGTCATAGGAGGAATACAAACAATCCAAGAATCCCGTGCATTCATTTACCATCGGGAATATGCAAGCCCATTGCGACGAAATTGGGCCGTAACGTTGCCGTGCGATGGTTTGCGTGCTTCAGTTATTCGTCGAGCCATGCTTGGTGATACGTTTTGCACCTTCACAGACATACATGTCAGATCGGCCAAAGGTTACAGGCCTGACAAACTCAGTCTCCTGGCCGTCCAAGTTCGAGTCAGAGTGGCGCCTTACTCCATATAACGGACTATCTGTAGTCTAGTGCCAAATCTCCGCTGCCCTGACGTCAGGTTTTTGAATCAAAGGCTTTGCTTGAGAACCCTAATCGTTCGTCTGTCTAGGCCTATGCAATAGAATGAACCATTGATCAAGTAATTTCTTGACACTCTGGCCGTCGCAGAGGATGATCAACGACGCTCTATGGTGTATCGATCAGGGTAGATAAGGGTGAAGATACTACCGCTAAGACCATTCTTTCCTCTTATTTCCACTCTTGTACGTTTTCAACCCTATCATCCCGTTCCAACTAACTTTTATCCCCTGTTTTCAATCACACCAAATTGTTTCGATAGTTGCTCGTCTTCTAATTTTAACCAACAGAGAATCGCAGATTGTCGCTCCGGTTCAGTCTACAAGACCATGTCCAGCCAAGAGAACAACGTCAACACAATCGTTTCTATTAGGATCCCTCGATCCTCCCTAAGGCTGGCATACATTAACATGCGCACATGCTTTTGCTAATCTCCGGCACCTGTGACACAGATGTGACATCACTCTCGCTCTGAAGATCAGAGTTTACAATGCATCTGTCCATTCAACCCTCCTGTACGGTGGTGAAACCTGGACCATCAGGTCAACAGATGCAGAGGCTAAGTATACCTGACCAGCGCTGCCTTTGCAGTTTAGCTCATGTCTGGTGAGAGCACCACCAGAGCAATAAGTGCGTTCGGCGTCGCGTATTTTGTGCAGGAAGAGCAAGTGAACCGCTCGTCATATCACGCAGCAGGCAACGATGGCTTGGCCACATGTTGCTCATACGAGCAAAACGACTCCTGCGAAGTGCATGGTTTGTGCGACCGTTATTATCCCAATAATCTGTTGTTTTCATCCACTTGTGTCCACGTCCTGTTCGCATCCGCAAGTTGGACACCGGAACGCTAATCCAACTCTGTTTTGGTTGGTCTCGCGGACAATCATCGGTTTGGCTGTGGTTAATACGAGTAGGGATACATCAATCATTAGGCGTATTGAAGGCTCTCACTGATATCGTCGTTCTTATAGTGTACACCGACTGTTACCTATACATGGATGTGACTTTCATTGAGCTCGTTGAACTGGATTTGTTCACAGTGTTGCAGTTTAGTCACTAAAATTATACTTAGCTCCATGTCAACCCCCTCATTCATCAGCGCCGCTCCGAGTGCTGTCTACGCTACGTCGAAATTGTTCTCTAGCAATAACGTGGGAAGTACTACTGGGTGTCACCTATCGGGTAAACCCCATACTATGCTGTCGAAATGCTGGGTGAGCTCAAGACAGGGAACAAGCTGTATTGTTCTTCGAAGCGTCTGTCTAAAAGAGCCAATTGAGGTGACTGAGAGTGCGGCATTTGTCCGTCGCTCTCGGTAAATAATTAATTCGCAAGAGCCTAGACCGAAAAATGATTCTGATGGGTTGGAGTGCGGTCTGATTTTCCTAAGTGTAACCGATATTCTCTATCCCCCGGAACCTCGCGTCCAACTAGCACTCCTGGTCAATCCTAAGTAACTAAGTTAGACACCGTTTCAAGGCTTCACGGACATCCCGAACCCGTTTTAAACCAGTTGAAGGCCCAGAATTTCATCCACCAATTTAACGTCTAAATTTGAATGAGAGTGACCTTGAACGCATTGTACGTATGACATTGAAGTGGATATCATCAACCCGCACCCAGTCAGCGCATCTAGTTCGAAGTTGCTCACATAATAGAGGTCAGAAAAGCGAACCTAAAATGGGCGCCCAAATACAACAGGGCCAGTGAGAGAGGTACTTCAGAACAATTGAAAATTATGTACTGGTGAGCACCGTATACAATTGGTGGTAGCAGGATCAATATGAGTCAACCGCATTCCGTCTATTTTTAAACAGCACCAACTCGGGGCGAAAGATAGTACTGGAAAGCAGGGCACAACTGGAAAAAGACGGAGGCTGTAGGCAATATGTCAAGCATCAGACTAGAAACGGAAATGTCCTGGATCCGATAGTTGATCGACTAAAGCACATAAGTCGTCTGCAACAATAAAGATGTCTGTATTTCTGTCGATTGGAACAATAGGCAGCTTGCCCGTGGAATTAAGTACTGACAACCTCCGGGCTATAGTTGCTAAGAGAATAATCCGATATAATGGAGTGACATGTTGCATTCCATACCTGGTTACATAACGAACTATTAAAAGAGACAGATATTGGTAGCGCTGAGTTGCCACAGATAAATTATATTATCTAGCTGCCCATTCACAGAGCAAAGTAATGTTCGAAATTAATTACTTTGAGTCTTCGGCCTAATTGCCTGTAGCAAAAAACGTCGAAGAGCGGGCGAAGATTTGCAGTGTGGTAACAGCGCCTCAATCCCATGTGTTTGAGGCTAACCCACGAGTTCTCAAGAGGTTCAAGCTAGAGCTAGCTTCGCTTGTTCCGACTATTTGGTGTACCTGATGAAAATGCGGTGGTCACGATACAACTGCTATGGATCCCCATCCAAGCAACTCTACAGAGCAAAGGATGAAGTTATGAATAATGGATCACAAATCATAGTCAAGGAGTTATGGTGTTCACTGCAATGGTAACTGCGGTTATATTGTTGGGAGAGAGATACCAGAGAATAGAGCATTGCTACAAGAAATTGCTTGAGCTTATCATTTGCCTGCACAAATTGGCTCTTAAAGCCATATACTTTCAATGGTTGACTCTGACCGCCACGTATTCTCACTGGGTAACCCCTGTCCGACCGACTTTAAGTGCCGCTGGTCTGAAGTTGTGATAGAGGCACAGCTATGAAATGGCCTCGGATGATTTCTTTGGGTGATCTTTCTTCACAGACCGCGTAAGGTGACACAATGCTACTAAGGTCAATGGCGGGTTGGTTTCTACTCTACTGACCAGGGGCTGGCAGGCTGAGTTGAGGCAAATGGCAACTAATAGGTGAGAAAGGGTGATGCTCTTCCTGCGCCGGAGATAACTCGTGGCGCGCGTACTGTGTGCCAACCGAGCTGAGCCTGTAACGAGTAGTCGCTGCATCCGATGATTCGGCTACGGAAGAAGGGACTATGAAGCACTAGATATCCGATGACATATATATTATACACAAGCTGTGGTACGGATATTGCCATTGGAATCATGGATGAATAGGAAAACAGTATGAATAATAAGAAAAGAGCAACAACAACAAAAGCTTTTATGTCTAGTTTACCACTCACAGTTTTTGAAATGTTTTTCAGTTTGTTCTTTGTTTAGGAGGAGAAAGAACGGACATCACAACACACGTCCGCCATTGACATCGATCTTGAGCCAAGGCTTCCAAGGTATTCAACCAGCAATTATCCTCATCTCTCGGACCTCGACTAGGTAGTAGACAACAACCGGCCGAGGTCAATTGTTTCGTCAGGTTTTCCATGCGGCTTCTTCATGTTGTAGGCTGTCCACCAGACCGTCTCTTCCAGCCGTGTCCAGCAACTGCAAACAACGCACGACGCAGGTAACGCTGCACAGGGATGCGCAATACGTGTCCCAACCACCGCAGTTGATGCAGTGAGACGAGCTCCTCGAGCGAGTGGCTTCCTCGTCCCAAGACACGCTGTCTAACTTCCACATTGCTTACGTGGTGCTGCCACCACACAAGGGCAATGGACCGCAGACAGCGGTGCTCGAAGACATATAGCCTGCGCAAGTCATCTTTACGAATGGGCTAGGTCTTGCATCCGTACAACAGTACAGCACTAACAGTTGCACAACAGACCCGCCCTTTGATGGAGAGACGAATGTCGTGGCGACGCCACAAGTGCCTCAGCCTAGAAAAAGCGAGGCGTGCTCTCGAGATTCGCATCGAAATCGTGTCTATCACAGCTCCGCCAGCAGTGATGCAACTTCCCAAGTAGACAAAGCTCTCCACAACCTCTAGTGTCTCACCACCAAGCGTGAGTGCATGCAGAGGCACCTGCCAGTCTTGGAAGAGAGCCTTGCATATGGGTGGTGAAAAGTACATACCATACTTTGATGCTTCAATCACCAAGCGGTTTAGTGCAAGTTGGACGACGTGTAGATCGTCACCCAGCAAGATGATATCATCAGCATAATCCAAATCAACAACTCGACTAGCTGGGAGGAACTCAACGCCAGCGTTCAACGAATCGCCCAGAGCGTTCTTCAGGATATCCTCAATGGGAAAGTTGAATAGGAACGGAGAGATAGGGCATCCTTGTCGAACTCCACTGAAGACCACAAAGGTACGCGAAAGTTTGCCATAAGTCATAACCCTGCCCGAGGTCAGACTATAGAGAGCGCGCAGTATGGAGACGAACTTCTCGGGGACACCATTCTTCAGTAGGCAGTGCCACAGTACCGTACAATCGACAGAATCGAAGGCTGCACGGATATCCAGGAACACAGCAATCGTTGGCCTCTGATACACATGGCGGAACTCGAGGATCTGGCGGAGTGTGAAGATTTGATCGATGCAGCCGCGAGCAGGGCGAAATCCAGCTTGTTCTTCTCGTTGCAACGATTCGCGCGCTGGGGATAGCCTGCGAAGTATGATGGACATCAGCAGCCTGCAAACGACGGGAACTAAGCTTATGCCTCTGTAGTTGGAGCAGATTGAGTGCAGGCCCTTTTTGAAGATGTCCGATGAGGAGGATAATGAGATCAGATTTCTCTGAACTCTAATCAGTGACCAGTCTGAATTGAGTAAGTCTAGATGCCCCCGGAAGGTATCACACTGTGAGCACGAATTGATGCAAAACAACGAGCCACGATGAGGCTCAGCCTAGTCGTGATGGGGGACATGAGTAGGTTGGGCATGATGGAACCGACTGTCGGTAAGCGATGTTTAGGGCGCTTCTGTTGTTAAATAATGAAAGAAAACAGGAACAATTGATATTAAATGAATAAGGATAGATAGTGTCGGGGAGTGGTAAGATGATCAACCGAAAATGTGCACGGTTTGTGCATATGTCCATACAAAGGAGAAACACGTGGAAGGTGGATCAGCGTAGAAGAGAAACGGCGGATAGAAAAGAAGAGCAAACCGATTAAACTCACAGGGGGTAGTTCAACGTTATCACTAGGACGACAGGCCACTTCTTTATTGCAACTCGGATTGAACTCATAGGCACTGGAGAGCACTTTGATCACTCGAGGCATGGCCATGTATGGAGAACGCATGAATGCCCCACAAAAACATCTGACGGTGTCTAGAAGAACGTTGTTCGTGCTGAACTTCATTGTGTTGTACCACCAAGTGCCCTGTAAATGAGAATAACATCTAACACGTAAACAACATCGGCACGAAAATCGGGAAGCGACAATCGTTGACGACATGCAGTCAATGATCATGCAGGGAGGCAGTAAAGCGTGGCTTCAACGTTAAAGATAAGGGGGTTGAGAGCTCCATCATCTGGCTAAGAAGGCCAAGAATACAATGCAGAATAATACACATATGTGGCTGCAAAAATGGGACAAGGATGTGTTGAGACAATAGAGATTAGTGCAAAAAGGCGTGGTTTCTGGAACATATCTAACGAGGATTACTGTGCATCAAAAGGCAGGTGTATGTCCCGATATTCATCACTGCAGCGTGGCATTAACGCTGACCTATGTGCTAGCAATACGCACTAACAGGCAGTTATACTGCAAGTGAGACAAAAAGACAAGACATAGTAGCTGGAGTGATTGATGACAAGAATGTGACCCATTAAAATAGAACGTAACCAAAAGACAGAGGTTAAATCAAAAAGGACAATAGACGTCAAGATTTCCACAGGAAAAAGAGACAACCGGAGATTCCCTAGAATGTGTAGATAGGATGATGTCAAGGATGTAGGAAGCAGCAACTCCCCAGGTGAGAGTATTGAGGAATGAGTCACGGAGGCTTGCAGATCCTCCTGGGAAACTGTAAGCACACATTCATTACTACGAGAAGTAACACCTACCCGCACGTATTGGCAGACGCACGGTTGAACAGATAGTGTAACACGATGACTAATTCGACAGGTGAAAAGTGGTGTCAGGGGACAGAAATATGACTTACCACAGCGATCGGAAGCAGAAGCATGAACAGGAAGATGTAGGCACCGATAACCTGAAAAGTGGAAGTGTGGCGCATTTGTATAGCAGGAGTGGAAAAAAGAGAAGAGGCTAGGGGTTAGTAAAGATTTGTATTAAAACAGCAAAAGGAGAGAATAAGTCAAACGGATTTATTACGATGCAGTCAATGCTCGAATGGAACATGGCTCTCATCGCGAATTGGTCTACTAATGTGAGTACGAAAACTCAAATGATACCTGCGTCTGTGGAAGGACTGGAAGTGTAGCTTACGCTCGGTTATCAATACATCTAATCATAAAGTTAGTATTCGTTGCGAACCAGAAAGAATAACGTTACGAGATATGCGAATGAGAACAAGAGTTGGTACAAAACGACCCTCAGTTCTTCAGCACGCTCATTAGAGCAAATACTGCACAGTCCCAACAAAATCCTGAAAATGCAGAGGGAAGGCGTGTCACGAGAAGACTTAAGTGTTTTGCGAATATCTATGAGTGTAACGCAGTCCAGGTTCCCAAGCCAAGTGTGTGGGGAAAAGTAGTTTTTGAGTGTAGCCTACAAGAAATCGCCCAGCTGATTAAGCAATGGAGGTAGCTATCGGTATCGGGTCAAAAGTTGCTAGGAGGACACAGAAGTCAAATGTGGAAATTCATGGTAGGTTCCTGTCAAACAGCCGTAACCACGTGGACGGGGGAGATCCATTGAAAGAGACCTACGATACACTGAAGTTCGGCAAAAAGGTTGAGAAGGGTAGTGATCGCGAGAATAGTATACTCAAAGTAAAAAACCAGGGAATAGCACTACACAATTTTAGAGTGTGGCATATAGACTAAACCGATTTCACGGAGGTGTCTAAGTACAGTGCTTTAATCGGTTTAGTGGTATTGAACTCAGTTGAGAAGCAAGTTCGAATACGTTCGTCATGGCGCGTATGAAGCAATTTCAATTGGCGATAGGCTCGCCCACTTTGATCGCCTTTATATCACAGAATAGTGAAGTGTAAGTTCAGGTGGCTAACGAAAATATAGAAGTGAAGCAGTATGCCAACGTGCCTCTTGGCCTGGTTCGAATCCGGGTGACTGACAAGCAGTTGTTGAAGCGCGTCATTTGCGGCTACGGACAAAGCCGAATTATGTCCAAGCCAGTGATCCACTGCGTACGCGCCATGTGGCGCCGTGCCGACAGACTAAGCAAAGCAACCTGAAAAGCGTTGGTACATCCCGGATAAATGGCTGAGAAGACCATTGAAGCTACCTGCCATAATGGCAACATCCAAATTCATGTACAAGTGAATGAAATACAAGATTCGTATATGGAATTCCGTCCCAAAGAACTGGCAAACGCAGTCGGCGCGAAGGGGGTTAAATGGAACAAACAAGAACGACATCGTATTCTTGAACGATGACGTTAATTATGACAGAGGTTCAGATGCGAATGATTTAAAAAACAGTAGAGTATAGTGACGCAGATCACTGACCCTATCCACAGGGACCCCATCACTGCATTGCTGGAGATGAGAAGGGCAGTTCTTTTCGCCAATAGAGTATCAGCCGAGTAGTCAATGGTAAGTAAAAAACGCTGTACTTTTATAACTGCTCCAGAAACAGTTCAATTCGAATCTAACAGAGCTTGAACAGTCGACCCAAAAGTGATAGAAAACGAAGGTTCTTAAATGGACCGATAAACACAAATAAACTTTCAGCATAAATGAACCGTGTAGTACAGCTTCTATTCTGAACATCTTCGGAGAGAATAAATCCTTTTCAATCGGAACATAATATTACTTGAATGACATCATAAATGGTAACAATAAAAAATAGGCCAACCTCACCAAATAGAAGTTCTCCTTTCGTACCATCCATCTGGGCAGCGCGATCCCAAAATGAGCGACTAAAAATATGAAAACAGAATTAAAAAACGAAATATGCGTGCATGGGCTAAACAAGACGATCTGAAAACATACATTTAAGCAACAAAATGTAATCACAAACCTGAAAAAAGAAAGCGTACAGCAATAACCGAATGTAGAAGAATAGGTGAAAAGGAGAGCAAAAGCGGCTGAAGTTGACAGTTTAAAAGCCGAAAAATTACCGATAAGACATGTAGCAAACGGTTATCAAGCAATACACGTCGGTCAGAATCAGTACGCGGTGATAAGGTTGGTATTTAGGAAAGATGGGATGAGGAAGCGATGTTGGCACAGGGTAGCACATGGGCTCTGGAAGTAGGCTCAAAAAACAATATAATTGCGTCGAGGTGGTATCTAGTGTCCCTAAGTGCTATCGAATCGAAAATCGAAACAAGAGTCAAGTCGACTAAGTCAAGTGGAAATGAGGACGAGGGGCGATGAAGTATCCACTAACCTTGACATTTGGAACCAGGTCAGATGGCACTAGCTTAAACAAATTATGGCAAATCTAACAAACCTCTAACTCAGACCAAACGCAGTATGCAACATATCTTGATGACAACCGAAGAAAAACTGCAGTGGCAAAGCCGAGACCGCAGTGAATATTTGCCAAGGAAACTTAATCTGCTCCACAGTAAGCTGGTAGCTAATAATTATCATGTTTAAAATATGCTATGTTTACTTAAACGAGCAAAATGCACCCATCCAGTTGCGGTAGAATCAGTCGCTGTGACACACATCGTCACTGCAACGAAATTAAAATGGTGATAAAAGCTGATGAAAGACAGTAAACGAGTAAAGCCGATAGGCAAGCTCAAAATCGTTTAAGGAAAGGTTGGTGGCTAGTAACAAGGAGCCAAATGCAATGGTATGCAACCAGTGCAACTACAGACAATAAGTTAGGCCCGTGCGTGAACACTCTCGTCTACCGAGAACTGAACTATATGGGAATTTGAAAGCATTTTTGGCGACAAGACAGCAACGGGTGAGTTTGGAGAAATAATCATGACATTAGTGCAAGATCAAGCTTAATTGCTAGGACGCCTTCAGAAAGAGCTTGTGTAGAAAAGGCAGCGAAGGCCAAGTCGAAGGCGAGATGTACACTTAGATTAAGACTGGTGATTATTATCCATCGTACGCCGATGAGAATCCCGCATCGGTCAAAACACGCAGCCCACAGAGAAAATATGGCGAAGGCGAAATGAGTGTGGGCTGCTAATTTTGAAAGACCAGATGTTAATTCCGGATGGCTATTTTTCAGAGAGCCTGAGTGGGCACGCAGAATATGGTCGGTGAAGTAAATTGTAAATTAGAGATAGTTCAACACGGTCCATTTTCAGTCAGTAGGCTTTGGCTAGTCTGGAAAAGCACTAGACACTGGTGTTTCGACCTGCGTCTCGTCAGTGGTGCGCCTTTCAGCGGACTCTGCCGGGTTCCGCCCCATGACATTCGAATGCCAACAGCTAGTGCCAGTTCGCCATGGGTGACATCCGTGGACTGTTGATTGTGATATAGCTCGGCTCCTCTCCTAATGCCATGCCGGTTACAAACTGTGCAGAGGATAGCAACTAGCCCCAAAAGCTAGGACATTCCGCCATAGTGCCTTGGTACAACGCAAGGAATTATACGGACAGATTTTATATTCCTAATAAGTAGCGGGGATTTGGTATGATTAGAGATAGTTCATCACGGTCACTCACAGTCAGCAGGCTTTTGGCTAGTCTAGAAAAGCACCAGCCTGATATGGCAGAAAAAGTTGAGACGGGCTATATCACAGGCAAGTGTCAAGCACGCAAGTCCACGGATGTCACCCGTGGCGAAGTGGCACTAGCTGCTAGTATTAGGAAGTCATGGGGCGGAATCCGGCAGTCCGCTGGAAGGCGCACCACTGAGGAGACACAGAAGGTCGAAACACTGGTATCTGGTGCTTTTCCAGACTAAGCAAAGTCTGCTAACTGAGAGTCGATGGTGATGAACTATCTCTAATCATACCAAATCCCACCACTCATAAGTAAAATTGCAAATTATTACATGGAACTGCTACCACCGCTGCACCCTCAGATAAAGCGTGGAATGGCCAGTAAGTGCGCAGAGAGAAATAAGCGGTGGGAATTTTTAGAGTCTAAAGGGTACCACGGAGCAAAGGTGGACATGTTTTCAATGTCGTTGCCTATCACAGTCCACGCGGCTGGTCCGTGTGAATTCACTGAATCAACGCGCATCTTACTGTTTACCACAGGCTGTTCCATCAGCAATCTCACTACCAATTGAGACATCGGAAATTCACATTGTTTTCATTGAAACTGGTAGTAACCTTTTCGGTGTTTAACTCGTAGTAAACGCCCCGATTGACCACCAAATGTAGTAGACACGAGTTGTAGTTCTGCCAAGTGTAGAAGCAGCGGTCTGCAGCATATGCCGGGGAAACATACAGTTGCTTGATTCATCCTAATAAGCTTGTTTAAAAGACAACATTCGGGCCGAGGACGAAACAATACGCACAGGTTGTCAATTGGTCACGTACAGGCCCTCCGCAACACGAAACGGTGTGTTATGACAATTTCGAACATAAGAATGAATGAGAAAAACGAAAACAAAGTGATGCAGATGTATTTTAACTACTGTAGTGAATACACAGAGGTTCTCGCAAACGCCGTTGTGACCCACGAGATGGCACCATAGAGGTTCAAGTGTATGAAAACCTTTCGTAGGTACTTACTAACAAGCCATGATGTGCTAGATGCGTAAATATAACCGCGCTATAGTTAAAACTAACAACAAGGAGGGGAATCAGCATCACCACCACCGTACAAAACAAAAACAACAACAGCAATAGCGGAAACAGCACATTAGTGCGTTGGACTAGTGTCGAAATTGTTATGATGGGAATCAACGGAGACAGTCGCACCGACTGTGCTAACCTCAGAGGTATCAGACTAACGTCAGTGGTGACAAAATTGCTGGCCTCAATTCTCATTCGTCGCCTCAAAGCGGAACGGGGATTCTGGAGAAGGGAGAAGCAAGCAAGCTTTCGCCATGAACATGGCTGTTTAGACCATATATACACTCTACGATAGGTACTAGAGCATTGCTACATGCATCACACACCGACAATAGCAGTGTTACTGGACTTCAAGAGTGAATTCGACTCAGTCGATCGATTCTTTCTGTTCAAGGTACGTGTGCAGGAAGGTTCCCGGGGAATATGTGAACAGCTTACGTGCTCTATACTCGGACAAGACAGGTCGCGTCAGGGTCTACGGTGACTTATAAAATATCTTCCCGAAAACAAGTGATGTGCGTCAGAGTTACCCGATTCCCCCTAATTTTTCAACTTCGCCGTGTATTCTATCATGGAATGCTTGCTTTCTGAAGCTTACGTTACAGACGTTGAAGTAATGCATAGCGAAAAGGTTGTTGATGTCGATTATGGGGACGATATCGTCTTGCTGTTTAATGATGTATGGGGCTGCCAAATCAACCCTGAATAACTCTAGAGTGATCAAATCATATGGCATGCGTCTCGCATCTTCAAAGTGCAGTGTTGTTAGAAGAACACGAGCCACTTGACCCCTTGATAGCGAGAAATTCAAGGTAGTTGATCACGTAAATGCCATGGCAGCTACACAAGAAACGATAGGCGTATAACCACTGAAATCAGTTCACGTAACACAAAAACCAGAACAGCCTGCTTGAATCCGCGACATCTTCCGCCTCAGAAAGGGAATTCCCTTGGTTTGATAAGCCGTGTTTACAAGACTACAGTGAGGGCCGTCCAACTCTATCGGAGTGAGACTTGGCCCCTTCGATTTGCGGCAACTTGAAGTCTTTGAATATCGCTGTCTGCGGAGCATTGATGGTGTCGGATCACACCACTGTGTACGCAACGACGATGTGCGAAAGCGAGTACTAGGCAGCGATAACCAAGCTAGTCCCTTAGAACAACAGGTAGCACTTAATAAGTTGCGTTGGCATGGACACGTACTACGTATGCCCGGTCCGCTCTTACCTAGTAAGGAATTGCTTTGTTTGCCAGATGTAGGGTGGTGCAAGGCCCTAGGTGGATAAATGTTAACTTGGCAATGTGAAGTGAAGTCAATGACGACCAAACTGGGTGCCGTCGGTCCGTCTCGCCTTCCGGCCTAAGTCCACGTGACTCGCCTTGTGCTTGGCACGATACATTACAAGATATGGCTCGTACTCGATACCAGTAGCGCATCCGCTGTCGGCTCCTAGTCGGACTGCCTGTTTAAAGGTTGTTTAGTGCTGAATTATCTGCGTGTCACTGGCTGATTTTCGCGTGGGGCAACAAACACAGCAAGGAATCTGTGTCACCGATGCTGCCAAATCTTTATTTGATAGCCAGCTGTTACCGCCGGTATTTTGTTGACAAAAGGTATGCACCTTGATCCTGAATGTTTGATTAAAGCATTAGGTTTTACGCTAGGCCCCGGTCTCCGCCCGTTATTATTTTTCATTCCGTAGATCACCGTGGTTGTAAGACAGCGAAGCAACGGTTAAAATGGCTGCTGTACGTCTGTTGATGATGATGATGACGGTGTTGGTAGTGAGTCTCAGTGGCCAAGCGATGAAACGTCGGCGACAATCCTCTATGTGTTGGTGGCTGAAACCTGGGGCGAAGGGAATCGTCGCGGTACCGATGGGCCGGAGGCCAAGCAGACGAAGACTGAGGGCGCACAACCGGTCCGGCTCAGCACACAAGAGAAACGGCATGATTTTCAACAATTCAGAAGCGGATTGTTCAGTCCAGCTTGATGACACACATCGCTGTGGCAGCTAGCCAGCCGAGGAAGCATCAAGCTAAAAGACCAATGGCCAATCAGGCGCTAGTCAGGAGAATTAAGCATGTGGAAGACATCCGACATAGCACATCGGCAGGACAGCACGAATTTTGACAGAGGAAAAGCAGATTGGTCAGCCGTACAACGAACGGATGGGTTATGCTTGAGTCCATAGTAAT